CCAAGGCAATCAGGCAAGAGAAAGAAATAAAGCTTACTCAAATAAGAATAGGGAACATCAAGTTGTTTCTATTTGTAGAAAAGATTAATTTATATTTAGGAAACCCCAACATTTCAGTCTGAAAACTGACAAGCAACTTCAACAAAGTCTCAGGATACAAAATCAATATGCAAAAATCACGAGCATTCCTCTACACCAACAATAGTAAAGCAGAGAGCCAAATCATGAATGAACTACCATTCACAATTGCTGTAAAGATAATAAAATACCTAGGAATACAGCTCGCAGGGGATACAAATGATGTCTTCAAGGAAAACTACACAAACCACTGCTCAAGGAAATAAGAGAGGAAACAAACAGAATTCCATCCTAATGGACAGGAATAATCTGTATCATCAAAGTGACCATACTGCCCAGTAATTTATAGATTCAATGCTATCCCCATCAAGCTACCATTGACATTCTTCACAGAATTTTAAAAACCTACTTTACATTTCATATGGAACCAAAGAAGATCCTGTATAGCCAAGACAATCATAAGCAAAAAGAACAAAGCTGGAGGGCTCACACTCCCTGACTTCAAACTATACTACAAGACTACAGTAAGCAAAACAGCATGATACTGGAACCAAAACAGGACATACTGACCAAGGGAGCTGAACAGAGGCCTCAGATATAACACCATATATCTACAACCATCTGATCTTCAACAAACCTGGCAAAAAACAAACAATGGGGAAAGGATCTTCTGTTCAGTAAATGGTGCTGGGAAAACTGGCTAGTAATAAGCAGAAAATTGAAACTGGACCCCTTCCTTACACCGTATACAAAAATTAACTAACGATGGATTAAAAACTTAAATGTAATATGCAAAATCGCAAAAACCCTTGAAGAAAACCTAGGCAATACCATTCAGGACATAGGCATGGGCACACTTCATTACTAAATGCCAAAAGCAATTGCAACAAAAGCCAAAATTGACAAATGGGATCAAACTAAACTAAAGAGCTGCACAGCAAAAGAAACTATCATCAGAGTGAACAGGCAACCTACATAATGGGAGAAAATGTTTGCAATCTACCCAACTGACAGCCTTATCTGACAGGTTTAATATCCAGAATACCCTATAAAAAAGTGGGCAAAGGATACGAACAGACACTTCTCAAAAGAAGATATTTATGCAGCCAACAAACATATGAAAAAAAGCTCAACATCACTGATAATTAGAGAAATGCATATCAAAACCACAATAAGATACCATCTCACACAACTCAGAATGGTGATTATTTAAAAGTCCAGAAACAATAGATGCTGGCAAGGCTGTGGAGAAACAGGAACACTTTTACACTGTTTATGGAAATGTAGTTTAACCATTGTGGAAGACAGTATGGCAATTCCTCAAGGCTCTAGAACCAGAAATACCATTTGACCCAGCAATCCCATTACTGAGTATACCCAAAGGAATATAAATCATTCTACTATAAAGACAGACAGACAGACAGACACACACACACACACACACACGTATCTATTGCAGCACTATTTATAAAAGCAAAGATATGGAACCAACCCAAATGCCCATCAATGATAAAGAAAATGTGGTACATATACACCATGAAATACTATACAGCCATAAAAGGGAATGTGAGCATGGCTTTTGCAGGGAAATGGATGAAGCTGCATCCTTAGCAAACACAGGAACAGAAAAACCAAATACCACATGTTCTCGCCCAAAAGTAGGAGTTGAACATTGAAAATACATGGACACAGAGAGGGGGAAAAAATACACCAGGGTCTGTTCAGGGGTGGATGGGTGAGGGGAGGGAACTTAGAGGATGGATCAATAGGTGCAGCAAACCACCATGGCACATGTATACTTATGTAAGAAACCTGCACATTCTGCATGTGTGTCCCATTTTTTTTAGAAGAAATTTTTTTAAAAAGATGAAAAAATATCCCAAAAAGAAGAGCAAATTTATTCCCAAAACGCCAGGGTTTTGGTCTGTGTCCTGCTGCTCACAGCATAGAAAGCCAATCACTGACACAAGAAGTATTGCCAAGGAAGAAGGCTTTAATCGAGTGCTGCAACCTAGGAGATAGAAGGTGGATCTCAAATCCATCTGCCTGTCCACTAAAACTCAGGGTTTATATAGCAGGGAAATGTAACATGCATAAGAAAACAGAAACTAGGGAGGGACAAGGAAGCAATCAAGATGAACGAGGGGTCCAAAGTCCCATTGTCTTGATGTGGTGATCTCATGAGTTTCAGTTCTTAGATACTTTTTTTTTCTGAGAGGGCTGAGGAACCTCTCCTGAGGAAGGAACTCACATAAAACATATGTAAGTTTTAACTTTTAAGACAAGAAAGGTCAATTTCTATGTTTATCTGAAAGAATAGTCTATGGGACTATTGGGTCCCTTTCAATGTGACAAAAACATGAGAGTTATATATATATAAGATTTATATGAAAAGCAGTGAGTCTGTCCCAAAGGCATAACATACAAATGAGAAAACAGAACACAGTAAATCATTAAATCAAGAAAATTTCTGTGAACTAAAAGACAAATTCCAAGGTTGAAAGATTTTATTAGTAACCCATTAGTGGATACCCCAGAGCACTTCAGAGTATAAATTCAGAACCATGGATTAAACAGAAGATTCTAATATTTTCAGACAGGTAAAATAGGCCACATTTAAAGAACGAGAAAGCAGAATATCTTTGGACCACTTAAGAGCAGAGCTAGCAGCTAAAACACAGTGAAGACATGACTTTTTAACTCTGAGGTTAAAAAGATTTACCTCTTGTTTTCTTTTCCTACCCCAACTGACAGTTTAATGGTAAGGAGAGATTGAAGACATTATCACACATTAAAGAGCTTCACAAATTTAGCTACCATGCATCCTTCATGGGAAACTTCTAAAGGAGTGTTCTGTGAAAATGATAAAAAATAACCAAGAAAAAGAGAGATATGGGATCCAGAAGATGAGATTTTCTTTGCCTTAATAAAAAGGCAAAAAAAAAATCTCCAGTATGAAGAAGTAGGAGGTACCAGGAGTGCAACAAATCACTGGACAGAAAGAGCAAGAATGGAATAGCTCAGAAGGTTCTAGGAAGATACTTGCTAAGAAAATTAAAATGATAGAATAACTTATGTAACTGGGGACTTTGGGCATCTTTCATTGATTAGTACATAGAAAATAAAGCTAACAACAAATAAGATGATTATTAACTACAGAGGAAAAAACTGCTTTACAAAAAGGAAAGTAGTCACAGTTTACACACAGTTTACCTGTGAACAGTGCTTGCATAAATAATTTGTCCTGAATATTTCTAATCAAAATTATGCAATAATTATAGAGGGAAGATAGAGAATTGAGAAGCATGTATGTTTTATCTCTGGGACCTAGTATAGTTGAAAAATAGCTCAATTCTTTTCTTCCATTGTAGAAAGTGGAAAAGATCAAGAAAGACCAATATTATATTTTTCTTGTTATCAACATTTGTTCTTATTATTTTTACTTACACCAGCGGAGGAAAAATACCGAAAGTGATAGCTAAAGGTTGAAGGTTGCCTCTGAGAAAATGGAAATGGGAGGAAGGGTAGGGGCAATTGCTACTTTTCTTAATAAGCCTTGTAGAACCAGTTAACTTTTTAAAATATGTGCAAATGTAACTTTGACTATAATAAAATTCAAAGAAAATTTATGATTACACTAAAATGTGTTAATTTTTAACAATTAGAAGTTGATTCACTGACTTGCATAGCCAGGGTAATGTTTATGGAAATATTATAGTTTCTCTTTAATTAAGGGATTGTAACTTGGTGCTGTTCTTATCATTATTATTAAATTCAGGACTACATGTGTTCTTTCACCTAAAATTTTGTGATTACCCATTAACTGCTTCAATATGTGAAACAAGCTTTTTTCAAGGAGCTAATATAAAAATTGAGAAAAAGTCTAAATACAGGGAGGAATATAAGGATTTCACTATCGTCCATAATCTTCAACTATGAATATTTTTGTTTACTTAACCATGTTGCCAAAATTACAAAATCAAAGAATTATAGAACCAATAATGAAAAATTTGTTATCATGGTGACTTAGGCCCTGGCATAACGTAGTTGCTCTCTTGTCATGTCCTAGAACTTAAATGTAACGTAGATAAAAATTTCTAGCTTGGATCAAATGTAGTATACCTATATAGACTTCTCAAGAGAAGACTAGGGCACTTACCCAGTGGTCTGTGTGATGATACTCAAAGGAATTATTTGTGTATGGCTCATGTATATGTGTGTTTAATCCTTAGAGGAATAGAAAGGACCAGAATGGCTTGGAAATTCTTTAAGTATATTGACTACATAATAATCAGCTCGAACTCCTTTAAAAGGAGGTTATTTACTATTGGGCTCCTAAATTAACTTATCTTTTATAAATGTTTGATTTGTTGTTTCTCCTTTTATGGTAAAACAATGGAAACAGCAAGTCATCTCCTTAATCAGAAAACAATGATTAGTAAAATTTAATTCGTTGCAACACTTAAAAAAAAAAAACAAGAAGCTATATACTAGAGGAGACGAAGAGAACAATAAGTAGAATAGACCAGGCTTTTTTTTTTTTTTTTTAACCTATTCTACACCAATAACTTGTACAACATTATCTAATACTTTTATAATTTTTTCTGTATTCGAAAATACCGGCAAGGAATACCAACAAGAATCTGAACTAGCAGATTCTGTCTCCTACAAACCAGGTGTCAAACAGTTCAGTGAATTATTTAGAAATAATAAGGCAAGTAAGGAAAAAAAAGAAATGGGTAATGAGGTGAAAAGAAAATATATTTTCAAATGAGCTTTCAAATCCAGAAAGGACAGTATGATCTAGATCTGAAAATAAAGAGCGGTGGGAGTCATTTAGAAAACCTGTACATAAAAATTTTGTGTACTTTGTAGAAGCGAACAAACTGCCAGTGAATCTCATCACGTTCAGTAAATATTACCTGAAGTCAGATTTTCTGTGAAGTAGGAAAATATAATTCCGAAGTCACTTATGGCTCATTTCTCTGTAGAACCAATGAGCATGGTTGACTTCTTCTCTATTGCATGCAACATCAGCACATCTTGAGGCCACTTAAGAAGTTACAGGTGGCCCAAACATCCTAGCAGCTCTTTGGTTTGATGAGAGTTTTATGAAGGAAAGCTCTTATGAAGTAATTATATTACCTTAAAAAACATAATATAATTTTTAGTCTATCTGTACCAGCTAAACCATAAATAACATTAAAATAATTATATTGATTATATAAAGAATAAAGCATCCAATTTTAAATAAAATATTCCTAAAACCTAGGTAGCAAATACTGATATTAATTTACTTTTAGGATTTCCAACAATAAGACAATGTGACTAAGGTGCATGCAAGACAGATGCTGTAATAAAACATAACCACCATTAACTATTCAATTTTTAATTTATGTTCAACAGATATTTATATAATCATATACATAGATTCATATATACATACACATGGTTGAATGTGTCCATAGTTTCCATAAAAATTGTGAAATTGGGAGGCCATGGTGGGTGGATCACGAGGTCAAGAGATCGAGACCATCCTGGTCAACATGGTGAAACCCCGTCTCTACTAAAGATACAAAAAATTAGCTGGGCATGGTGGCGCGTGCCTGTAGTCCCAGCTACTCGGGAGGCTGAGGCAGGAGAATTGCCTGAACCCAGGAGGCGGAGGTTGCGGTGAGCCGAGATTGCGCCATTGCACTCCAGCCTGGGTAACAAGAGCGAAACTCCGTCTCAAAAAAAAAAAAAAAAAAAAAAAAAAATGTGAAATAGAAATCCATCACTTCTCTCCCTAACAACTGTATTTCCCACACCTCAGAGTTCACTTTCCATATTTGTAAATTTAATATTATCAAAGAACTTTGTAATATTGATGCTTTTAAAAAAGTTAAATGTCAATTTGTTTTCCACAATGGGGAATGTGAATTCAGCATTATTTTCACTGTCTAACCTCTGTACTCCACAAATTTCTCCATATTTCAAAGAGAGTTTTTTTTTTTTTTTAATTTTTTATTGGATTTTAGGTTTTGGGGTACATGAGCAGAGCATGCAAGACAGTTGCGTAGGTACACACATGGCAGTGTGCTTTGCTTTTCTTCTCCCCTTCACCCACATTTGGCATTTCTCCCCAGGCTATCCCTCCCCACCTCCCCCTCCCACTGGCCCTCCCCTTTTCCCCCCAATAGACCCCAGTGTTTAGTACTCCCCTTTCTGTGTCCATGTGTTCTCATTTTTCATCACCCACCTATGAGTGAGAATATGCGGTGTTTCATTTTCTGTTCTTGTGTCAGTTTGCTGAGGATGATGTTCTCCAGATTCATCCATGTCCCTACAAACGACACAAACTCATCATTTCTGATTGCTGCATAATATTCCATGGTGTATATGTGCCACATTTTTCCAATCCAGTCTATTATCAATGGGCATTTGGGTTGATTCCAGGTCTTTGCTATTGTAAACAGAGTTTTAACTTAACTTTAGTTAGAACAACATTCAAGGTTTAAATGTAAAATTCTGGCTGGGCTATATTTTACACTGGAATTACACTTTTCTTGAGCAAGTCTCTGCATGCTTTTTTGGTATTAACGGCACTGTTTTGCGTTGGTTTAGTTTTCTATGTCCTAACGCTTACTGAGCTGTTCGAAATTCATTAAAATTATATCAGGTTCCTGCCTGCAACTCTTCAGAGGCCTCTGATCTGCTCCAACTAGATTGGTTGTGATCCTTGCCTTAGAAATTCCACGATCCTGAAATTTACCCTGAACTTCAACTTAGAGCAATCTCTTTCTTTTCTGCGTTGTAGTTTCCATTTCCTGCATCCTATGTTTTTCTGTTTCTTGATTTACTGTCTCATTAGAATGAAGCAACTTTTCCACTGGCTTTGTAAAAAAGACAGCACGGGCAATAAATTACAGTCATGTAACGCACAGTGATGTTTTGGTTAACAATGAACGACATATAGGCAATAGACTCATAAAATCATAATGGAGCTGGAAAGCGGCAACCTAGAGCAATGCATTACTCATGGTTTGTGCTGATGGTGGTGTAAACAAATCAGTTTACCCCAACTCGCTGCCAGCTGTTTACAAGTATAGCACATATATTTTATGTGCAATCACATGAAATGCATAATACTCAACAATGACGATAAATAACAATGTTACCGGTTTATATATTTATTATATCATACTTTATTATTATTCTACAGTGTACTTCTTTTATTTATATGAAAAACAGTTGACTATAAAAAAGCCTCAGGCAGGTCCTTTGGGAGCTAGTCCAGAAGAAGGTGGTATTATTATCACAGGAGATGATAGCTCCATGCATGCTTTTGCCCTGATGAGCTTCCAATGGAAAAAAGGATGTGGAGGTGGAAGACAGTGATTACTGATGATCCTGGTCTATAGAAGGCCTAGGCTCATATGTGTGTTTATGTCTCAGTTTTTAACAAAAAGGTTTAAAAAGTAAATAAAATGCTTTACAAATAGAATCTTATAAAATAAGTATATAAAAAGTATTTTCATAGAGCTAGACACTGTGCTTGTGTTTTAAACTAAGTGCCATTAGAAAACCGTAAAAGAGTTAAAAAAATTTAAAAGTTTATAAAGTAAAAATTTTGAAGTAATTTTATTTTTAAAGAAAGAAAAATGTTTTTGTACATTTAGTGTAGCCTACGTGTACAGTGTTTATAAAGTTTACAGTAGTGTACAGTCATATCCTAGGCCTCCTCATTCACTCACCGCTCTCTCTGACTCACCCAGAGTAACATCCAGTCCCACAAGCTCCATTCATGATAAATGTCCTATACACGTGTGCTATCTATAATATTTTATACTGTATTTTCTATATTTAGAAAGCAAATACTTATTGTTACAATTACCTACAGTATTCAGTACAGTAACATGCTGTACAGGTTTATAGCCTAGAGGCAGTAGGTGATATCATCTACCCTTGGTGCGCACCAGGCAATGCTGCCTAGGTTTGTACAGGTACACTCTATGGCGTTCAGGCATCAGCAAAATTGCCTAAAGATGCATTTCTCAAAACGTTTCACTGTCATTAAATGATGTATGACTGTACCTGAAAGATTTCAGGTTTGAAAATACCTTTAGTCTACCCTTACACTTGACTGATATAGTTTTGCTGGCTTTAGTAATTATTGAATCAAAGTTGTTTTTCCTCTACATCTGGAAGGCATTTCTGCATTGTCCTCTAGCTTTAGTGTAACTTCTTAGATCAAAAGCCTTTCTATTTCTTGATCATGATTATACCCTTTCTGGAAGCTTTTAAAATTTTTTTCCTTTTCCCTCTAGTCCTGAAATTGAATAATTATATAACTTTAGTTAGCTGATTTTTAGCTATTGTGCTGGGCATAATATGGAAATTGATATTCTTCATTTGTGACAAATTTTCTTGAATTATTATTTCCTACTTTCTGGTTTTTCTATTGCCTTTTCCCACATTCTCTGAGTTTGATGTTATACTTCCTAAAGTGGTCGTCTATTGTCTTAATGTCTAAAAATTTTTTGTGTCTTAGGTTCTTTTAAAAAACGTGTTTGTTGGGCCGGGCGCGGTGGCTCAAGCCTGTAATCCCAGCACTTTGGGAGGCTGAGGTGGGTGGATCATGAGGTCAAGAGATCAAGACCATCCTGGTCAACATGGTGAAACCCCATCTCTACTAAAAATTACAAAACAATTAGCTGGGCACGGTGGTGCGTGCCTGTAATCCCAGCTACTGGGGAGGCTGAGGCAGGAGAATTGCCTGAACCCAGGGGGCGGAGGTTGCGGTGAGCCGAGATCATGCCATTGCACTCCATCCTGGGTAACAAGAGCGAAACTCCATCTCAAAAAAAAAAAAAAAAAATGTGTTATCGTTCAAGTTTTTCTAAAGTGTATATTTCTGCTGTTTTAATTTTTAAGAATTGTTTATTCTCTGCTTGTTCCTTTAGCACAGCATCCCATTATTTTTCCATGGATACAATATATTTTTCTTAACTCTGAATTTAGAAATAACACTTATTTGAAAGTTCCCTTCAATCTTTATAGAATCTGCCTCCTCCAAGATGCTTGTTCTCTATCTGTTCATACTGTAAGTGGTAGATTAAAAGCTTTTTTAGAAGCACATACACATAGTTTTTCTGTTGCAGACTCCACAGTAAAATGATCTGGCTAGACTCTTCTATTGAGACATTCTGAATATTATCATTTTTAGATCTTTTCCTGGTCTGGCCAAGTTTCCTAAAAAAGAGTGCTGCAGATATATGTCTGCATATGACCATTCTGGGAATTTCGTTGGACAGAAGGGTAAAGTAGTCTCCACTTTTATTATACAAACATTGACTCCTAACCCATAACCTATATTCAACTGTTGCTGCCCCGCTGTAATCCAAAGACCCTCCCAAAGGGTCTCAACCTGTTTCTTGAGTCCATTGAGACAGAACATTCAGAGAAGTCAGGCAAAGAAGATTTTTATTCACAGATAGGTAGCAAGGTTTGTGGGTGTTTTTTTTCTTTTTCCATTTAAGAGAGGCTTAAGAGCACAATGGGAAGACATTCAGTTGTATATTGTGAGAAATTTGGCTTGATTTCAGCTTTTAAAGCATTATTCATATATACAAGGGGTCACCCGGAGTCTCATGCACCTGGGAGCAGCAGCAGGCTTTACCACTGGCACAGCTGCATGACTTCTCCTCTCTGATTTCTCCTGATTATGAACTTTGAGTTTGATCAGTTGCTTCATTATTGGAATGGTTTTAAGGCCTCCCCTTTTGGTATTGTTTTAAGGCCTCTCTTTTGTCCTTCCTGTCTTTGCTCTTCTGGTTATTTTGCATTTGGTGTTGAAAGTCCAAATTTATAAACTTTCCAAATTATATATATGCATTTTTAGTGAGCAAGATCTTAAGTGTAAGGTATTTGCACTATAGAAAAGCTAAAGGGACTCAGGAGACAGTCACGGATTAAAGTAAATGAGGAAGGAGAACTACTTAACCACTGAAGTCAGTTTGTCCAATTTACGGGCATTTAGTGCTGTTTAATAGATAGATGTTAGGACCAGTCTCAGGAAAGTGTAAGAATATTTCTCTTTCATTTTAATATTCTTCACCTTATAGGCTTCAAAATCGTTTTGCTAAAAGTACTAGTGGGTCAAAGCACGAAATATTCAGACTCTGCTGGTAAGATGGTGAATTTAGTGCCAAAAACTTTCAGAGAAGGGTACTTATTAAAAATAAGTGGCTTTTGGTTCTCTCATTTACTCCCAGGGAATCTAAACCAGAGGTTCTCAAAAAGGCTTCTAGAAAGTTGGGGGGAAAGGGAGAGCCCCGTTGTCTTTGGTTTTCACAATGACAGAGCAAAGTTACTAATAATTAATATGGGTCCAAATATCTGGCACTGAACACTAATAGTCTGGTCCACCCCTCCCATCTCTCATTATCTCCTTTACCTTCAAGCTGCGAGGAAAATTATCTCTTAAGGAGCAGGTTTACCTTTAAGGCTACACACCCAGACTTTGTGAATGGAAAAAAAAGTCCACAGTAATTTGCTTTCATGAGATTCATTCATTTCTACAATCATGATTCAAACAATGGCGAAAATCACTTGAACTTTAAAGTGAAAGCTGGGAATAGAGGTTTTCCCTAACTATCTGGTAACATGTGATATAACCTTGGGCTAGTTATTCACTCTGTCCAATGGCAAAAATGAAGGTAATGCTGAT